GTGTGACTCCTATGTGGGTGTGCCTGCAACTGCGGGAGGCTGCCTCTCCACGTGGCCTCTCCACGTGGCTAGCTTCAGCTCTCACAGCTTGGTGGTCTTGGGCTGTCAGATTCCAGAGGGAGCATTCTAAGAAAGCTGAGACTGCTGCTGCAGCAAGACATTTTATGCACTAGTCTTGGAAACCTCAGCCCAGCGTCTCCATCACATTTGCTTGGTCAAGCAAGTCGGTGAGATGGGCCCAGATTCAAGGGGAGGGCAGCTGGGTTTTCTCTCTCAGTGGCAGGGGCAGCAGAGAATTTGCAGCCATCTTTAAGCTACCACGTGACCTAGTAAAAATTCGCTGTTTTTCCTTTTTAAAACATTTTAATGATTACTTATTGGGTTGGACCAATGAACAAAGAGAGACTTTCTTTTTATTTTAGGAAAGCACAAACATGTTCAGTTCTCTTATTGTGCCATTAAATTTTAGTTAGTGGTACTTTTAGATTATACCTAACCTGTCACGAGCCGAACAGAGTACATTTTGGTGCCTACTTTGAAATGGCTATCAGCACATCAGTCACATCAGTTCTGAGGTCCTGACTCACCTCAGAATTCGTGAGAGCCTTTCTGAGATTATCTCCCTGAGAACAGAACTTCTAGGGGGCAGAAGGCAGTAAACATGTCCAAGCCAAGTAAGACAGTAACCACCCCTGTAGCCACACGCTTTCTCCAGCAACCATGAACATTGTGAAATGAAATAAAAGTCTAGTTGGAGCCCTTCTTCCTGGGAAGCACTGCTGTGGACCATTATATTCAGATATTTATCATTGTTCTATCTTGCAAGAGAGGGGAAGGAATGTGGAAAACTCCCAAGGTTGTCCTTCATAAGGTGTTATGAGGCTGTCGTTAAAATGAAATGTACTAAGATATTCCATCTCTGAGGGGAGGTTGGCCTCTGGGCCTCAGTCTTTCTTCAAAAGTCCCAGTTACGCGTGTGCGCTTGTTCTGCCCTGGCCTGGTCCACAGCCACCTCTGAGCCCACCCACGCCTCTGTGAGGGAGAACTGGGCAGGGGCCTCTGCAGCCTCTGGGCTCCAGTTCGCCAGACCACCTCTTGGGACAGCTCAACGCACTCTGTCCGGGCGAGATCAGCTCCATCCCCATAGACAGAGAGCCTGTTCCTCATCGTGGTCCCATCATAGCCAGGCTGGGGCTGTGCCCGGGACACGGTAGCCATTCAGGCGGTATTTGCTAAGAAGTAAAAGGCAGAAGTCACAAATGTGTTTTTTAAAAATGTTGAATTAGTTACAAAAACCAAAATGGTCGGAGGAGGGTATAGCTTAAGTGGTAGAGCGCATGCTTAACATGCACAAGGTCCTGTGTTCAATGGCCAGTACCTCCTATAAAAATAAACAAACAAACAAACCTAACCACCCCCGCCCCCAAATCTCTAAAAGAACCAAAAACAAAATAGGAAAATTTCAACTAAAACTCAAGTGTTTTGGCTTTTCCTGAAAACATGAAAACCTGGCAACACTGGAACTGAGGGTCAATGACAGACGGGAACTGTGCTATGAATGTTATAGATAGAAAAACTTCAGAAAAATATTTGAAATGTATTTATTGATCTGCTGAGAGATAATTATGAAAATTTAAAGTTAAATACATTGATATCATGATAGACTCAGGCCACGTAGTTTAACTCCTCTGGAGGAACCCGGTGGAAGAAATTGGGTCAGAGATAAAGTCCAATGTTTTTAGAGAGCAAAAATAACAGAGCATCATCTTGGGGCAGTAAAGGGTGTGCCCACACAGACGGTGATGACCTCCGAATGTGAGTAGGGCTAGTGAAGTTTAAAACCTGAAACATTCTTTAGGAGGAAAGCTCTTTAGACCTTGCCTGGAGAGCTAGGTTGGCAGGCATCAGTCACCTTTGGTAATTATGGGGGGTTGCCACGTGGGTCTCCTCCTGGGGACGTGAGTGTCTTATGTGTGAGAAATGTGTCTTTTTCATTTCTGTGATTTTCAGGTCTGTTCCAGCACCTGACACAGGGGAGCTCCAAGGTCCTCAGAATCTCCCAGGACCTAATTCAAAACTCAGATGCATGTGTTCCCACGTCCAGGATTCTGACCCGGAAGGTCTGGCGTGGGGCCCAGGGATTTGTGTTTGTTTGTTTGTGCGCAGCAGGAAGGCTTCCAGGATGTGTTTGTAAGATGCACAAACTGATAAGATTTGTAAGGAATTTAGCTTTAAATATGGGCTGCCGGTCTACAGTTCTGACATTTTCCTGGTGATTTCTGTGTCTGCTGGATCTTTGGCCACCAAGCCTCCCCCTCCAGTGTACCCTACCCCCAGACACACCTGCTTCTCCTCTGGGGCTCCCCAGGGATGCGGGGTTAATACTGCACAACTGGCCTCCACGGAGGGATTCCAGCATATGCTCCGAAGTGGGATTGCACTGGTTAATGCCATCTCCTATGAGAAGGCAGAGATTATCACAGGAGGGAGCTATTTAAAATTAAGAGTTTGAGGGCTTGAAATAGCTGGGAAAATGGCTGCTTTTGTGCAGAAAACTGAACCTGTTTTGCTGAGCACAGTGGTTAGAAAGCACCCACGGAGAGAAGATGGTTTGGAACCCAGAAGAGGGAACGAAACAAAAGCTGAATCATTTCAGTCTTTGAAAACAACCCCACATTTTGTGGCCAGACACAGGAGAGCTGATCTGGAAGATGCTCAGAGACCCTCTGTGTCTGTTTCCTCATCTGTAATGTGGGCCATGTGGTGGCCCCCACTCACGGACCAGACGAGGTGCTGTGGATGACGTGCTCCGTGATGCTGTGATACTAATTTTACTCTATTTTTTAAAAGAAGGTAATTATAGATTCAGATTTGAGGCTTGTTTTCACTTCTGCTTACTTCTGAATCATTTTACTGGAGGTAACTTTCCAGGAAGTGGATGATACACACCTTGATCAGACTGGTTTTTACTAGCCTGGTACACACACAAGATGGACAAATACCTTAACTATTTCTGGAGAGTTTCCAGGAAGCACACTATTTGTCCATATTGCAGCAAAGTTCCTATTTCCCAAGTTTGCTGTTAGTAACTCTTTGAGTATCAGAAGCACTAGGAAGTTTCTCTTCGTATCCCTAACACCTAGAATAGTGCTGGGGCTTAATAAATGCTCAGCAAATGTTCATTATATTTAATAACTTAATAAATGCTCATAGAAAAAATTAGGTAGAAGACCATCCCAATACCATCTCGTTTAAGATCAGTTTTAGCATCTGAAGTCAAGTATCTATATATACTGTATATATGTATTTTTTTAAACTGCGAATTATGAGGGATCTGGCAAGTGAATTGAATCTATGGCCCCTTCAACCCAGTGGCACCAAGGGGTGGTCTGTGGTGAGACTACATTGAGTTGGAGACCTCTTCTTCCATAATCTGTCTATAATCCATTCATCAGAAAGGCAGCATTGGGGTTGGGATTAAGAGCATGGATTCTGGAGCCCAGCGTCCTGGTTTCAGGTCCTGGCTCAGCCGCTAACCAGCTGTGTGATCTTGGGCACATTACTTTACCTCTCTGTGATCCAGTTTCCTCTCCTGGGAACTGGAGCTACAGTACCTACCTCACTGGGGTGTTTGGGGGATTAAATAAGCACAAACATGTAGAGCTCTTGGAACTGGGATTGACACATCACAGTGCAGTGTAAGGGTTTGCTGTTGCTTTATGTGCCTGCGATTTTTTTTTTTTACAGTGTTCATATTTTCAGTTGACTGTCACCCATCTTTGGTTCCTCCCACTCACACCCCGGCGGGAAGGCACAGGGGCTCTTCCTGGCAGGTACCCCAGGTTGCCTCTCTCAGGGCCCTGGGACTGCCCTCCTGCCGGGACTTCAGGGGTTGGCATTTGCTCCCCACTTTCCCTGCCCTTTCCACGTTCCCCGCAGGCCCCTTCACAGAACAGAATCCTTCAGAGTTTAAATAGATTTTTAGCCACTGCTTTCTCCTGAGGCTTCTGAGCTCCCAGGAGGCTGGTTTTCTTTCTTGACGGTGTAAACAGAAGTGGCTGGAGATGTTTACCTTTGAACCTGAGCATGTTGTTGTGGGAGCGAGTCTGTCCGAGAGAGGGTTCACTCGGTCCCAAGTGTGCACTCAGCAGGTTGCGGGGGCACGCGGTGCTCCAATCAGGCGCTGCTGTCCCCACCCTGGGGGAGCCCTGGAACCTCAGGTGGTGTGAGGACGGGCTCATTTCTGTGATTTCAACACCAATCTGATACAGCAGGGCTTTCTGCCTCCGTGAGTCAAAGCCGACAGGCCCTTAGCAGGTTAGACTGTACTCTCTAAAGGGGGAGAAAAAAGGAGAGGTGGCCAGTCCTCCCCAGGGGGCGAGGGGGCTTGGTTTGCTGATCACTGCAGAGGACCGTCCGGACAGGAGCAGCCTGGCCCGCAGGCCGGGGCGCAGGGAGAGGCGGCGGCAGCAGGGCCGCCAGGGGTGCGAGCTGTGTTCACTCCCTCCCTGGAGCGTGGCTCCACTTGACCTCGAGAGGCCTGAAGTCAGGGCGGGAGCTTCCTGCACTCTTGCTTGGGGATCTGGAGGAAGCATTTGTAGCTCATGCTTCAGTAACACGGGGTTCATCTGATGAGTCCTCTGCCTCTGGCACAGGTTGCTCTAGGAGCAGATGAACATTTTCAAGAGGGATGGGCTGTCAGGTTCCATGGTGGAGCATGGGTGGCCTTTGGAGAGGTCCTGAGGAAGGGGAGATGCTCATCACAGATGCTCTTTCAAATCGCCTGCCTGTGGAGGCGCCAGACAGCAGACTTCCAGTGGGTTCAGGATGGATCTAGATTCCTCTCAGAAGGTGAACCTGCTTATGGCTACACCTGGCTGACCACTCCTACGCTGGTACTCAAGGTTCACTGCTCTCTGGATGATGCTGTTGAAGGGCCCTCTGAGGAAAATGGTTCTGAGGGAAGCCCTCTCCGAGGATAGATGTGCTGTCTTTGTGCACACTAGCCTTCAGAGTGTAAATAGCACTTACTTGGTGTTCCTGAGTCTGTGCTGATGCTCAGATGCAGACATTACGTTTGAATGGGCTTCCTCATCATTTTTATATGGTAAAATGGACAATTTCCATATTACAAGGAGAAAGGTATAAATATTATATATTCCTTATTCTCCAATCTTGAAAATAGAAATTTTATAGGAGTTTAAAACAAAGTTTGTTTTGCAGTATATTTTTATGTTATTTTGCTACGAGAGATAGAGAATCATCAAACTGTCTATGCACGTTGAAATAAGCTGGTGAGAAACCGCGACTGGACCCCACATGAAGCATGATTTTCTATTCCAGCCTGGAGCTAACCTCTGTCAGCTGCAGAGTCCTCTCCAGCTCTGGCTTTCTGTTATACTTACACATTTCAACACTCCCCCCAATTTTTCCCATGTAAAAACATGGACATAGAATTGATATTTTTATTGTGTTTAATCTAAATAGTCTCTGGAAATGCAAGGTATTAATTTCTGTAGATGAGCAACTTATGTCTCTTAAGGTAGTATTTTTATCTTATTTTTGTTCTTCCTTTTCTCTGAAAGTCTACACAGAAAAAGGACAGTTAATGAGAGAGAGGTTGAAGGGTTGTGAGTGAACTGTCTCCATACGTGGTGTAACCACTTGTACAGTGAAGTACGGGTCAACAGCAGGCCCTGCTCATCTTCCTGGCCTCATCTGCTTCCCACAGACCCTCAGCTCTAATGAGCTGTTCTTGCCACTGTGCTGTGAACACCGGCGCCTTGCGACATGGTTCACATTGTTCCTACACCTAAAATCATTTCCCCCCATTACTTTTCTTTTCCCTTCCTGTCACCTGCACCTATAGAAATTTCCCTTTAGTAATTATACCTAACACAAATGTCACTTCCTCCAGGAAGCCCTCCCTGCTCACTTTAATTGGGAGTGAGTATTAATTCTTGATACTCTTTTATTACCTATTTTTTGCACCATTTCTAAAGTGTGGATTGTACTCAGTCCTTGGAATTGTTATTATCAATCCATCATGTATCTACATCTATCTCATCTATCAATTAGCTATCCATCAATCATCTGTCAACTATTGATCTGTCTAGCAATCATCTCTCTCTCTCTCAGTCATTAGATCATAAGTGACTAGAAGTATGTGGCTTGGTCCTGAAGAGAGATGTCCTTGATCGCAGAGTATGGCCGATTTCAGAGGATGAGGCCAGGACTGGGGTTTGCCCAGAGGCAGGTGTCCAGGCTGAGCTAGTTGCCCTAGTTTATAATCCCAGGGGGACAGGCAGGCAGAAATCACAGTCTACAGGGCATGGGAACAGTGGGCTGTGTTGGGAGCCACACTCAGACAGGTGCAGAGGAAGGAGCCGGGGTGACTGAGGCATCCCCAGCTGGTGCCAGCCTCAGTGGCTTTTCTCTTGGGGCAGCTACAGGTGCTGGTGGTTCCCCTTCACACCCGACCAGTGCACCCCTCTGCCCACGGGCTGGCCTCTCAGCTGCAGCTAACGAGGTCTCCTTCCTCCCTGACCTGAGGGCTCTGGTCCTAGCCGAGGTCTCACCATCCAGATCTTTTCCTCCCAGGCAGCTGGACCTTTGTCAAGCGCCCTATTTCTTCCCCACCTCCACGGCCCCAGCACAGTTCCTTGTAGCCGGCAGTACTTCCGTTATTACTTTTGTTCAGTTGGGTGATTGCATTGTTTCTGAGATGTGTCTTAGTTTCTGTTGACTGTGACCGCTGGTCATCCCAACACCTGACTAGTCCTCAGGTTGCAGATACAGCTCTGGGCCACCTTGTCAAGGAAGAAACAATTTTCATTCCTTTGGCCTCTCTCCCGTTTGCTTATTCACCTGTTTTCATTCACAGTATGGCTTAGGCTGGGTGGGGATGTAAATAGGAGTAAGATGTGGTCCCTGGCCATTCCTTGGTACAGTCCAGCAGGCTCTGCCCTCCATGGATGGTGTCTCCGGCTCCCTACTTGGACGCCCACCCCCTGTCGGGAGACCCTCACTGATAGTCCTCCTGTCTCCCGGCCCTGCCATGAACCCGAGCTCAGAGAGCAGCAGGGCTTGGCAGGCAGGCTCTGCAAGCCCAAGGGCAGGGTGTGCCCACGTGTTCGGAGATGCTGCCCCTGGTGCATCAGGTGGGTGTGCGGGCTGGTTTCTGTCGGCCTCTCCAGATTCACGCCAACCCCGTCTTCTGTGCTGACCTCTGTGCCAGCCTCACCAGGCCTCCTTGTCCTGTGGCCTCTGGGGGGTTGGACGGATGCGAATCACCACTAGTGTACTGGAGGCAGGAAGAAAGAGCAGGTGGGGGAGTTATTCCTGCGTCTCCGCCCTGTGGGCAGCAGCAGCTGGGCAGTAGCCGAACGTCTTCCCCAGGCCACAGCCCTGTCAGGGGGCCTCCCCTATCCTCCGCCCCTCTGAGCTCTCCTCCGCTCTGTCTGGCCCGGGGGCTGTAATGACTTATTACCACCAGCCCTGGGGCACCTCACCTTCCCCAGTGCTTCCTTTAATTCTGCCTACCTGTTAGCTAAGAGCCCCTTCATTAAACTGTCTCCAGAACCTCTTTTTGAGTGTCAGATTCTTCCCACTGTGACCCTGACCTTAGAGCAGACAGGAGTGGCAGAAAGGAAATCAAGTAGGAGGCTGTTGCCATATCCAGGGTGAGAGATTTGGCAGTTTGGGCTGGGGTAGCGACAGTTTGAGATGCAGCGAGAGCAGTTGAGTTCAGGATGCATTTTGAAGGTTGATTGTAGCTTTTGTTGGATAATGACGGTTGCTACCAGCACAGGTGACTGTCTCTCCAGGACACTTTCCCTTCTTATGCTGAATCATGGCATGTGTTCCTCTGTTTTGGGGGTTCTCTGCCCTTGAGCTTGGTGCCACAGCCCCCTAAAGTACCATACACCTCTGCGTGTCCTTGAAGCTCTTTGTTATGTTGATGTGTCTTTCAGCACACTATTATTTTGATGGTGCTATTCAAGTTGCTTTTCATTTATGTCATTGTTTAGAATTAAGAGTAGTGAAAAGAATCATGTGTCTAAGTTCTGCCTAAGGTTTGTTCGGCTTGGACATGTGAGACTGGCCATGTCATGGTGCTTCCTCCTGCCTTTTAAATATCACCTTGCAGACACTGGTAATTCCCAATTGTCTCCATCATTATGACTGAACTAGTCCAATGAATCTAGGTTCATTGCTTATTTCTTGGAGCCATTGAGGGCAAGGACCTTATCTGTCTTATTTGTGTCTTCAGTGCCAGCCCTTAGAACTGTGGCTGGCACTGAAGACACTGATGGACTAAATGTATACATGAATTGGCCATGAAGCATCCTCCTAATGGGTTGACCTTATATTTTCTCTAATGCTCATGTCTGTTCCACAGAATATGATGACGCTTTCATCCCATTGAGGGTGCCGGCCAGTGAGGGCATTGTGGAGAGGTGTCATGGAAATTACATTTAATAATGACTGCTACCTTTCCACATTATCACCAATGTTCCCGAATCAGGCATCAGTATGTGTGCAGGCGTAGAAGATCTGAGAGTTCAGAGGATGAGACTCAATGAATTAATTAAATGAGGCAACTTTTTTTTTTTGATAACTTGATCAGTTCTTGGCATGTGACAGTCCCACTGATACTGCTTCACATAGAGAACACTCACACAAAAAAAGTGGTTTCATGATCTTACAATTCTGGGAATTGGGGTTTTCTGGGAAATTATGACAAAATGTAAACTTGGCTTCTGATAGCAGCCAATTGGAGATGTTTGGCTGGAATGCCTGAAGTAGAGTGAGGACACCTAGCAAGCATATGGAACATTCTCATGTCTGTGTTTCACGTGCCGTTTCTCCCCTAAAATAATCTACCTACATTCAAGCTAATCAGCACTCTCTTCACAGCCCGTCAGCGCCCCAGCTTAATTGGCCTGGATCGTTGCTCTCAGTGTGAACAGTTTGCTCCATTCTCAAGTCTGGGTTTGATGACATCTAATGATCCTCAAAGTGCATCCAGGCGGTATGAGACAGAGTGTGAGTGAAAGCCGGCGGCTGGGCTGCTGCAAGCGCGCCGGTTGCACTCATAATCACGCCCTTCCCTCGGGCAGCACTGCCAGCCCCGTCCTCCTGCAGGGCATCCAGACTGTCCTGAAACAGTGTGTTGTCGCACAGGAGCAAAGCCAAGCCCGCCATCTCCGCCCTTCCTTAATCAGCTCCTTTTCAGAAATACTGGTTTCCTACCTGCTGACGTTCTGTACGCATTTCAGTGCGAGCCTTGTTCTTTGCAGGAGGTTCTGCCTAACAATCCAGCAGTTCTACTCCCCGGCGGCCGACCCGGAGCCTCGGGAGGTGCATGATTTGTCCATGCAGTTCATCTTCGTGGGAAAACAACCCTTAAAATGGGATGAAATACACTCTTCAAAGTTTTTCTTTTCTGAACTGGTGTGTTGCTTTCTTTTATACAATATCACAGTGGGGAAATGTCCAAGTGGTCATGGGCTCACGGGAATAATAATGATGATGGTCCTTGACTGAGATGTAGTCCTGCTGTTTAACCATCTCGTCCTCATTACCAGCCAGTTCTGAGAATCCCGCCTGCTGGAAGGGCGATGATTATGGTTCCTGCCCGTACGTCTAAGAGAAGCTGGTCAGGAAGGGAGACTGTGGGGGGCACTCTGTGCACCCTGCTTCACTTCCCTGCTGTATATGCCTGGACACACTCACTCCGTGAGGAGCCAGGCTGCTTTATTCAGAGGCTTTTGAGATGCCTGCCTTCATGTTCTCTTCATTTATTTCTCTCATCTGCTAAAATCTGTCTGTGGGATGAAAAATGCAAAAACGTCCAAGGATCTTGAGGGGCACAGACACAGCTGAACAAAACTGTGGCCAGAAACCCTTCCCTTGGAAATTCCCCACCATGTTATAAGTAGGGAGCGTGAAGCTAATAGAAGTGGGAGGAGTTGGTCCTTTTAAAATAATATAGATGTTGGAATCTTAGACTCTCAGACCTAGAAATGAACTCGAGGCCCTAACGCCCCCTTGGTTTGGAACTCCTTGGATAGGTCGGGAGGTTTGGGCCTGGGGCGGAGGGCGGTACTGGAGTACTGCAGCAGGCCCTGTGATCCGCTTTCTGGAGGGGGGGGGCTTCACCTACCGTAGAACTCCCCAGACCCACCCCAGGGAGGGAGCTTTGTTGGTAGAAAGGTTTCCATGAAGAAGTATAGGAGCAAGAGATTTTAGAATATAATTTCCCTTGTCCTGCTGGTGTCTTTCCTTGTATTTAAAGTTTTCCTTCCTGAGCCTTAGCCAAAATGTCATTTTTTAAGAATATTCCCATTTGTTTATGTGGTTAGGTTTTGGTTTTTGTTTTTGTTCTGCTTGTCTGACTCTCCCTGGCCTGTCCAGGGCTGAAGAACATGCTTTTCCCACACTAATTTTGTGTGTCTGGCTGTGGTGTGCAGAGTTCCAGTGACTAAACCTTATAAAGCTAAACTTTTTTTAAAAATACAATTTAAAATCCATACCTGGATCTCCCCTGTTTCTGATTTGTTTTTAAATTTTGGCACGTAGGAAATGAAGTGACTGTATTTGTTTTCCAGCCACTGGTATTTATTGTTTGATGATGTCAGTGATGTGAGTGGCCTGGGTCTCTGCGCGACTGACTCCTAGTGTGTTCCTGGTGACTCTTCTCTTGTGTGAGAGAGCCACCAGGTTGTCACAGCCAATGACATCACCTAGCAGATCGTCCTAAGCCTGGCCACATGATGATACTCGGCTGTTACTGGAGTACTCTGTGTCCTGGTTAAACTTGCCAGGCCGAATGTCTCCTGTCTGTAGTATCTTGCGTAGCTCACAAACCCTCATTGAGAAACCGTCATGTGAAATGAAGGCAATGGACAAGATGATCATGCCTCTTCCTCTTCCTCCCAGCTCTGGAATTCTACCGTTCTGACTCTTGCTCCTCTCGGTGGGCTTTAATTCTCCAAGTGAGATCTTGAGCCATTTATATACGTTTTTATTCTCACTTCAACTGGCACAGAGAAAGTACCTACAAAATGTTGGAAACTGGGGTCCAGAGATAGGAGATGCCAGATGTGCTCTCAAGGGACACAGCCCATGCATGAGATCAGAACAAAACCAACCTCTGGAATAAGGCAGCGTGGTCAGTCCAGATAGCAGCGTGCGGCGGCCGCCCCGGGCACTCACTGGGAGTTGGAGGGAAGCCCTTCCCAGCGGACAGCGTGGAGGGGAATCTTGAAAGAGAAAGTGGTAGATCGGGCTAGAGAAGCAGGGCAGGGATGGAAAGGTTGGGGGACAGAACAAGCGGAATCGTGGTGCACTGGGCCACTGTCAGGCATGGCAGGACGAGCTGACTGTGGGAGGATGGCAGGAGTGGGGCCGGACATGAGGATAACAGTGGCTGCTGTTTCCCGCCTGCCTCTGCCCAGTGAAATAATTGGTGTGAGCATCATTGTGCAAATGAAGATGTTGAGACTTAGAAAGGCTAAGTAAACTCCAGAAGGATGCGTAAGTAATAGTTAAAAGAGCAGAATTTGACTTGGGTCTTTGTGAGACCAAACCTCAAGCCTTTTTCTCCTTGCCAACTTCTCTTCATCCCTCGATCCCTCCCTCCCTCCCTGGCTCTGACTCTCTCTGTCTCTGTCTCTGCAGAAACACCCCTTTGCCCCTGGGCCTGGCTGCCTTGCTGGGAATGTGGATGTCATCCTGGAGATGATGGGGTGGATCTTAGAAGGACTATGGGAAGGAGGGTGGTGACACGATTAGGTAGAGAGGTTGGGGGGAAATTCAACTGATCTGAATCAGCTGTCCTGCTCCGCTGGGTGGACTCAGTCCTAGCCTAGCCCTGGAGAGAGCGCGAGTGGTATTCAGAGTCCCACAGACCTGGTCATCTGTCTCCTGTCCACCGTTGGCCTTTCTTGTGACCTGGGGCCTCTTTCCAAACTTGTGAGGATTAAAGAAAAATCCAAAGGAAAGAAAAAAGTAATATCAACTTGTCATCGAGCCTTTCCTACATGCCTTTGCTGAGCATTATGCCAATTAATTCTCCTAACAATCCTATGAGATAGAAGTGATTAGTGTCCCCAACATACAGATACTGACTTGCCTAAAACCACACAGTTTGTAAATGGTGAAGCTGGGGTGAAACCCCGGTGGGAGTTTTTACCCTCTGTGCCTACTGCCTTCTAGAAGAATGGGGCCTGGTGCATGGTTGGGAGTTCGAGCTTCTATCAATATGATTAGAGTTGTTTATTATTATCCATTATTTTTAGACAGAGGCTGAGAGCCAGACAGGAGCTGAAGAAAGATGGCGGAACTTAGGCCCACAGCCTCGTGACCACCAGCCAAAGGTTTTCTCTTCCCCTGGGCCCTCTCCCACCCCAGGCGGGTGCACCAGAACTCCTTTCTCCCCCATGTTCCTGGCCTCAGAGGCTCCCTCAGGCTTTTCCTCTGCACATCCAGCTACAAGATGCCCTGGGTTGGGGGCCGCGTGCTAGGGTACATTCCCTCTGCTTCCTGATGGAAGTAGACTTCCCAGAAGTGGACTCTCCTCACTTATAGCCCTCATGGGGTCTGAGATCCACACCACCCCTTTCCGGGGGACGGCTGCCAGCCCCTGCCAGGCACCCTCTCCACCTCCTGGGTTTCCTCAGCCCCCAGTTCTCTTTCCAGCCAGCCCATGCCTAGCCTTTGGCAGCTGACTTACTTCTTAATTTCTGGAGGAAAGAATGTGAAAGAGGGTTTGGTTTGGAGAAAGTGTCTGCTGACCTTCTCTCCTTCATTGTGATGGGGTTGCAGGCCTGGGAATCTTCCACCCTGAAGCCCGCGGAGCCAGGTTCCTCCATGACCTGAGCTCAGGGATTTCAGGGCATACTCTCTGGGGGGTCTTTGCATCTGAAATCCACTTCCCTGTGGCCCCAAGAACCCTGATTTGGGGCAGGTTCGAGGAGAGAATGTGAAACTCATGTGTTTATTTAACAGGTGCTGTCAGCCTGTAGAGAAAACCAGAAAGTTTAATTGAAATTCAAGATTTTTGAAGAGTACACACTTTTTAGGGGTACTTAAGAGTTTAATTTTCAAATCCCAAGGGGTCACTTCTTTTGTTGCAGTGTGTAGCCTGGCTTTGCAGGGGAGAAGCACATCTTCCTTGACCCTCTTTCTGTCGAGGGCCTCTGGGTTATGACATGTCATTTCAATATATACGACCATGCAGTAGTTACCTGTGTCCAGGTAGGTAGAGCATGGCTGTCCACAAGGCTGATTGGACCTGGTAAAACATCTTGGAATTTCTTTCATTGTGTGGGTTGTGCTTTAAAAATAGCACATGCATTTGCCTGGACAGGCGTACCCGCCCCAGGGCAGCCTCCCCCCTCCCAGGAGTTTGCATTCTGTGCCTTGATGTGCAGGTGCCTTAGTGTGGCTGGTGCGTCAGCTGTGGTCACGCCACCTATTTAATTTCCATAAATTAACTGAGCATGTGTGTTTTGTGAGTGTGAGAAAGAGATGTTACTCCTTTGAATAGATTTACAGGCTAACCTGACACTATGCTCTGTTTGTTTACTGTAGTTGCTTAATGGTGTTTTATGCAAGTCAGTGGGGCGGCTGTCAGCAGAACTCTGTCCCGAATAGTAAAGATGTTTCCAGACTGAGGCTGTAAGCAGCCTGCTGCATCCCGTTCACGAATAATTCTGAAAATTTAGAGGCAATCTCAGATTGCTCATTTGAGCTTTCTTCCTGTTCTTCTCAAGGAGGAATACTTAGAGTTGAAATTTTTAGAAAATGAAAACACTGCTGGAGATTTAAATTATAATGTTGACCTGAGATACAAAACAAACTCACGTGGAGCTGCTTTCTTTGTAAGATTTATAATACCATAAGGTGGCACCAAAGAAAACCCCTGATAAGAAGTGTTAGTTTTTGAAATTTGTAAGAAAAAAATGGATAAGTGTTTTAGACACCTTATTTTGTTTTTCAGTTGTTTTCATTGAGTGGTGTAAAGGTGTTGTAACTTTATTCTCATTTCTTAGACGTTTTAAAGTTTAAAAATGTGTCCAGGGTAGAACAGAAATCTTGCTGAGGCATTCCCATGTTGGTGGTGTCTGGAGTTTGAAATGGGTGCTGGTGGTTATTCTGGGGAAGGGGCTGGCTTTGGTAAGACTAGAACCCAAGCACCACCTGACTGTACCAGACCCAGCTGGGCACACTGTGACAAGTCTTCAAATGCTCAGGATCAGGACAGAACACGTTGCTTTTTTTAAGGTCATGTGTCTTTCAAATCATCGTCCCGGATGGTTTTGGCTTGGTCCTTATGCATGCTAGTGAGGTCACCAGAGCAGATACTCTGTTTCTCTGTGCACCAAATCTCTGGCTTGACGGGGCCAGCTGGCTTTCTCGAACCTCCAAGACTGATAAGTCCCAGAGCATGGCTGCGCTCGTGGTCTTCCATTCAACAAACATTCATTGAGCGTTTCATGGGCCAGGAACTATGCCTGTGAAGAAAGTGGGCCTGTCCTGGCCTGTGGAGCATGGCTGTCTAAATGCCCTGTGAGGCTCCCCCATCCACCAGGGCACTTTCTAAAATGAGCTTTCATAGTTTGGGCCTCTTCCTACACTCTGCAGATATTTACTGACTTGCCTCCTAGGTGTGGAACAGGAACAAGTCTCCCTCAGGGAGCTGAGGGTCTAGTGAGAACAGAGACCAAGGGCAGGATGTCCTGGATGCAGGACACTATTCAAGGCACTGGGGTAAGCCACAGGATGAGAGGTGGTGAGGAAGGAGCTCCACGTGGGGTTGAGATACGCATGGGGAGTGACTCAGTAATCTGGACGGAGGAGCTGGGTGCTGCAAGGCGGTGGCTGGGGGGACGGAGGTAGGAGCCGG